TAGCCTAGTACCAACTACCTCATATTTTTTTACTTATATTGCGGCAAAATAACTGCTCCAATTATTTAATATTACAAATCAGATCTTACACCTTAAACCCAATAATATTTCATAGTGACCACCTGTCCATTCAACTTTGTTTACCAATGACTTAATTTTAGTCCCTTCATATAATTCTCCTTTTATTTTAGCTTTATACAACTACCCTAGTTTTATACATTCACAATTGTAAAAATAATCAAGGTGCTATTTCTCATGTGCTAAAGTAGAAAATTTCACAACTTTGCATTATATTCCAAAGAACTACCTTGATCTCATTATTTTACACTTTGTTAAATAATTCCAGTTCTATTTTTTACTTACGGACAATTTATACTACTTTGTTTTTTATACTTAAATTCTAACTAAGATTCACTATAACACTACAAATCCTTATGATTACAAAGCATTGATCCTATGACCAAACCTCATTAGTTTAACGACTTAAAAATGATTCAAACATTACTGTAATTACTACAACTGACAGAACAATCAAAGGCACTTCTCAGTGCCAACAACAACATAACTATACATTTAACTACAAATATATTCAGATCTTAAGCAAGCCTTACATTACCTCATAGCATTATCTAAATTCCATACATGCCAAAACGTCCATCATTACACACAAAACACGAAAACCTGAGGTCTTAAAGAGCCTGATAGTAACAGAATCTATGCCATCCTGGTTACAAACAACACGCCATACACAACTGGTAGGCACAATACCACAAAGAGGTGTGTGGGCACATCCATATTACTACTCAGACCACTAGAATGTATCACTAATACTTGCACAAGAGACGAACAAGGGAATATATAATAGCCAAATTCAAATCCAAATACACCTACAAAAACCTCTCACATTGATAAAACATTTACAGAGTTTCCACAGTCCACAAAACATTAGCCAATATAGCTAAAACTAGGAAGTATGTATAACTGACATGCACGCATGCAAATCACAACAGAGATCACTTACTACCTCTCCAAGCGCTGACGATTTCCTCAATATAAATCTCCTGCACAGACCAGGACCCACACGTTTACTGCGAATTCACAAACACAATAGTATACTGAGTATGTTGCTACCAACAGTAACTAACACCTACAAGAGTTACTGATACTAGTGTTTTCCCTTACTTGACCACATCTGGACCTAACACCATATTCCACCTATTAAAATTCATGCATAAGCATCAGATACTAAACCTACAGACACTTCACTCACAACTAACCTTTCTCACATAACAACTCTTGCTTTACCTACCACAGACCACCTACAAATGGGTCGGGGAGGGAGCGCAGTTAACGGAACGTGCAGCGAGGGGGAATAAGGGCTGGGGAGGGCCATATAGATTATAGACAGGGGGATTCGCCGGAGGCGGAACAGGGTGCAGCATTTAAGAAAAAACTTTGAAGGGCACACTGGGGAAGACTGATAGGAGAGGTGTCGGTATTACAATTAGTATTATCGAATGTAATTAATAATTTTCTAAAAAAGGAATCCCCAATACCTCTATAACAGCACTGCCCTAAAAAAACGAAACAGATGACAGCTAAGAGACTGAACTTCCCTGGTTAACACCGCAGCATTCTCAATTCCTAAATACAAAAAACCAAATATGAAAAACATACAGAATGGTCACATAACCAAGACCAACAAAAACGTTACTCGTCAAGTCCATATACCAGCCTGATAAGAAGGGCTAAAAAATTGTATCATGAGACAGATTATCTCAACTTACGAGGTGATATAAAAAAAGACCTGAAACCCTATACAGAAATTCTAGAACAAAAAAGATTCTACGAAATAGTGGGAGAAATAATATTATCAAAATCAGATGAACCCCAACTCCCACCAACAAAACAGCAAACAGACTCAATTGACTTCTTCCCACTATAGAACAAAACTCTCGCGAATGCCAATAAATCCCAAGCTCATATACCCCACCAAATGACAACCTCCTGGCAACTACCCGAACACATCTGTTCCTAGCTCTGACTAACCCAACGAAGGTCTCCCTTATTAATCAATCAACACGCTAAAAAACAAGGCATGTAGACTTTAAATAACCTACCACCCTTTATATACAAAAAAAGTGTCACAAGTCTATCACCAAACATTGCTACACTCTTTAACAAATCCATCTGAGAATCCTCCACCGTCCCCACAATACTCAAAAAAAGCAAAGGGTCACCACCCGATGCCACAAAGGAGGAGACCAAACAGAGTTTGAAAGAACAATAGGCCAATATCCAACTACACCCTCTACTCAAAAATCTTCGAAAAATTAATTCAATAAACGAATCTACTCCTACCTTATCCTCCCAAAAACATACCTCAACCCCTGCCAATTTGGATTCAGGCCACATACAAATACTAATAGATTGCTATTATACCATGCAAGAACATATATTAACACGCAATAGAGATAAAAAGAAGTCCCACATTGGGGGGGGAAAAAAAAAAAAAAAAAATCTTCATTGACTAACGTAAAGCTTTTGATACAGTTAGAACCATGACTTGCTCCACGTAAAATTGTCACACTATGGTATAAAGAGGGCACTCCCCCACAACTACCTTCCAAGTCATACCTCAGCAACAGAAGCCAATATGTTAAGCAAATGCACGGGCAAACACTTCTGCACAACCAATATTATCAGTATTGGTTCACCACAGGGAAGTGTCCTTGTCCCTCTCTCTCTTGTCTCCTATACATCAAATGACCTACCAAATGACTATCGCAATTACACAAACCCACACTATTTGCCGAAGAGGGGGGCTACTACATTACGTCTTCTCCCACCCGAGCCCAGTCACGGCCATAGGCCAATACCCCTCTGCTAATTACCAGAATTACAGAAAATTATCTACCAGGATGAGGCGATATAACAAACTTACACTAAAGCATTGACAAAACTCTAGCTACATCTCATTTGGTAACAGAGCTACAGATTCCCTCATAACAATAATGATAAACGGATCACCTAATCACAAAGCAAGCATAGTGAAAATTCTTAGGAATCCCCACCTTTGATATAGACACAAATTTCATACACAAATCCACACAAATTATCTAGAAAATTTCCAAGACTGTACGCGCATACTATCGAAGAATACGGTACTATGCTCCACATACAGCGCCTCTTGCCCTATATCACCTCTATTTACCCCTATCTCACCTATGGAATTTGTGCTAGGGGCTCAACAACAAGTAACCATCTCAGACCGACTATTTAACTCAACAAAAGACTTCAGTTAGAATGATAACAAATTCTCACTATAGGCAGCACACTCCACCAATTTCAATACACAAACCTAGTCACCATACAAAACATTCATACTTATTACTGCACACCTATTACATACATAGAACACTTAACTCTGAAATAAAACCCTCCTCAAACAACTCCTTGCCAACCTCAACATAACACATGACTCATAAAATCGAAGGCACAGATCACTCTTGAATGTCCTCGTGTTCCACTCACACTTTGCCAAAAACTCAAATGCCTCAATAAGCCCTAAAATCTCTGAACTCATTACCTGTAAATAATAAAAGAAACACTACTGTTTATATATTCAAGTCTCTCTCAAAGATCACTTACTCACCCAAACCAAATAAATACTGAATAACTGAACCTTATAGAATTGTATATCTTTAATGATTCTCACACACTATATCACATAAAAGTTAAACCTAAAAAACCCAATTAACTTTACTATTTTTAAATACACTACCTAACAGAATACTTCCATTCTACTGAATGTACAACAAAGCATACAGCCATATGACCTGTCTTTGTAATACTCACTTGTGCTTTATAGGTAAACTGTTTACAATAAGTTTTATCACCGATTTCATCATTGCTTTTAGTTTCATCTAAGTTAAATATTTAAGCCAGCCCGTAAAGCTATGCATAGTATAAGTGCTTTGGCATACTGCTCATTTTCTGTATTTTTTGTACCTTCTGTATGTGTCACAAATTTTTAAATAAATAAAAATAAATAAAATAAAAGATTGAAGCGGGGAACAAACATTTTTTCTCAAGGTTCCCCCCTGAACGAGCTTTTATGGTGTGGAAGTGTCATTAGCACCGCTCTCGTGGAACTGAAAAAAAAAAAAAAAAAAATGCAACCAGTTCGTCCACACACTGCCGTCATGATACTGGTGTGGCATATAAAATTAATGCATTCAGAGACAACTCGACTCGGGTAGAAATGTACACATATAGTCAAAGTATTTTATCGCAGTGGTATATTACGAGACCAATCGAAAAATACCCTGACTTTGCTCCTCCCTTAAATAAAGTATTACCAGTGTGTGTGTGTGTGTGTGAGTGTGTGTGTGTTGTGTTGTGTGTGTAGATGTTGTGTGGTGTGTTGTGTGTGAGTGTGTGTGTGTGTGTGTGTGACCCAGCAATTAATATTTCACCTATAACTCATCACAGCTGTAACCGGTTTGGACGTGGTGAATTGCTCATTATTGTATAATATCGTTTCATGATTGTAGCCATGTATTAAAAACGTAATTAATTTTACACTCACTTACATGAACCTCATTACCTTTGTAACTTGTATTTTCATTACCTTTGTACCTAGGTCACTATCAAAACTTTGGGGTCCAGTCCCTGGACCCAATTATGTACCTCTGTAATTTTTTGAACTACCGCCCACAGGATGGTAAGGGTTCATAAAGAATATTAAACAACTCATTTCCTCTCTGTAACGCTCAACACGCATAGCTTCAAACTGGATTTTCCCCTATGTCGGCGGCGAACTTCATACAAACCTTGAGTAGATTGAGGTTAGAACCAGTATGCGTCGATCGAAGAATTAAGTAACAGAGCCAGGAGCCAGACTTGATTTCCGAAAACATACTCTGTGAGTACAACAGGATGAAAAACCCTCAACCACATTTTTTAATAATATCCTCGCACGATTCCAGAATATCTACACAGAGAGGAGCGGTTTGTGATGGGTAAAGTTATCCCAGGCACCATGATAGTCGTAACCCATCACATTGATGATATCGAAGGCCTGGGAGAGGGTTGGCAAGTCGTATGCTTCATCAATGGTATCCTTGCCCGGCGAGAGTGCCCCTGAGAGCAGCAGCGGAGGTCGGTACTTATCGAACTCCTCACGGAACTCCTGAATCAGCGTCACGAAGTTTGCCTGGAGGGAGTGAAAGGATTTTTTTTATATTCAGTAAGTGGTCACCTTATTGTACAATGTACAGGATAGTTGCATTGTTGGAGCACCCGCAGCGTGCGACTGCTCTATTCAAGATGGGAATACCTGCAGTGTGGGACTACCCTGATCATGATGGTAGTTACATGGTGGAAACACCTGCAGTGTACGACTATCTTCTTTTGAACGAGAGTTACACTGTGGGAACACCTGTGGTGTGGCTACGCTATTCTACATAATTTTGCTATTTGGCCATTGACTGTGGTAGGGATGGTCTTCTTGACCAGTTATTGTGGTAGTGGGTGATGCTGGTAAACCATTCTGATAGAAGTGGTTTTCTTGGCGAACAACTGTAGTGAGGTGGTGTTAACTGGCGAACGGCTTTGTAGTGAGTGGCACTGTTGGTAAACGATTGTAGTGTTAGCGATTGTGATAAAATTACAAGTATAATATCATTCAAGGGAGATGCTTTGATGATGGTGAAGGGTTCTTAATTCAAGAAATATGAGGTATCTTCCCATTTTTATGGGATCGAATCTGATTACCTCCCATTCCCCAGGTTCTGTATGACGTCTATGGGTTGGGCGCTTCACTACGGAAAATAAAAATTCACCTGGAGTATACGCCCCCCCCACTCACCTTGTCGTCAGGGTTGCCCCCTCTTAAACCAGGGTACTCCCAGTCGACGTCGAGACCGTCGAAGCCGTGTTCATTGACTAGTGTTATGGCGCTGTTGATGAAGGTCTGCCTCTTGTTGGGGTCACTGGCCATCTGTGGGAGCAGAAGTCAGTTTTAGTGAGGCACTAGTGACTGGACTATGTTGTTTACTAGACTTAAGTCAGGCACTAGTGACTGGAACATGTTTACTTAAGTCAAGTGACTGGAACATGTTCTTTACTAAAGTCAACGACTAGTGACTGGGCCATGTTATTTACTAGACAAGTAAAGGATTATTGACTTCATGTGGTTTACAAGAATCAGGAGAATGACTAGGACATTTAACATCCTCGTTATGAGAATCAGGGACCCCTTATCACTGATTTACCATTCAGTTCTCTCTAGCTCTGATTTACCATTCAATCCTCCCTAACTCTGATTTACTATTCAGTTATTCTTGGATCTGATTCACCATTCTGTTCTCCCTAAATCAAATTTACACAAAAAATGTTCTCTTAGGCTGACATTAGACGGATAATTTTGTTCATTTTATAGAAGCACCTCCAGTCATGGAGTAGTCGTTGAGAAACCAATCGGAAATCGTTGGACCCCTTCGTTCTGACTTACCACGGAGAAGTCGTCGGACCCCTCGTTCCATCCTCCCACAGCAAGGATGGTCTTCAGGTTGGCATTCTTCTGTTTGAGCGCCACGAAGCGGTCATAGGCACATTTACCACCCAGCGGTGGGCACAGCTCGTTCCATGGGTCCAGAACCTGAGTACACGCAAAGGTTTTAAAGAATGCACCAGGACCTTTGTAGAGTGAATATGGTAATGCTATATACTATCGACAAGTTGATAAGTAAGACACATGTTCAACAGTTAAGTATCTAAACCTTTCGCCTACACAGTAGCCTTCTTCAGTCGAGTACAGATGAGGCAGCAGAAGTATAGAAGTAAAGGGTGATGGACTGATTACATCGTCTTTACATCTCTACTGCTTCTGCTGACTGCTTTGTACTCGACTGAAGAAGCCTACTATGTAGGCGAAACTTTACGGAATAAAGATACCTAACTGTTGCACATGTGCCTTACCTATCACCTTTGTAGAGTGCAAGAAGGAGTGTGAATTCTGCATCAGGCTAAAAAAGGGCCCAGGACTGTTGTAGAGTACAAGGAGTGCGAGTACTGTTGTAGAGTACAAGGAGTGCGAGTACTGTTGTAGAGTACAAGGAGTGCGAGTACTGTTGTAGAGTACAAGGAGTGCGAGTACTGTTGTAGAGTACAAGGAGTGCGAGTACTGTTGTAGAGTACAAGGAGTGCGAGTACTGTTGTAGAGTACAAGGAGTGCGAGTACTGTTGTAGAGTACAAGGAGTGCGAGTACTGTTGTAGAGTACAAGGAGTGCGAGTACTGTTGTAGAGTACAAGGAGTGCGAGTACTGTTGTAGAGTACAAGGAGTGCGAGTACTGTTGTAGAGTACAAGGAGTGCGAGTACTGTTGTAGAGTACAAGGAGTGCGAGTACTGTTGTAGAGTACAAGGAGTGCGAGTACTGTTGTAGAGTACAAGGAGTGCGAGTACTGTTGTAGAGTACAAGGAGTGCGAGTACTGTTGTAGAGTACAAGGAGTGCGAGTACTGTTGTAGAGTACAAGGAGTGCGAGTACTGTTGTAGAGTACAAGGAGTGCGAGTACTGTTGTAGAGTACAAGGAGTGCGAGTACTGTTGTAGAGTACAAGGAGTGCGAGTACTGTTGTAGAGTACAAGGAGTGCGAGTACTGTTGTAGAGTACAAGGAGTGCGAGTACTGTTGTAGAGTACAAGGAGTGCGAGTACTGTTGTAGAGTACAAGGAGTGCGAGTACTGTTGTAGAGTACAAGGAGTGCGAGTACTGTTGTAGAGTACAAGGATTGCGAGTACTGTTGTAGAGTACAAGGAGTGCGAGTACTGTTGTAGAGTACAAGGAGTGCGAGTACTGTTGTAGAGTACAAGGAGTGCGAGTACTGTTGTAGAGTACAAGGAGTGCGAGTACTGTTGTAGAGTACAAGGAGTGCGAGTACTGTTGTAGAGTACAAGGAGTGCGAGTACTGTTGTAGAGTACAAGGAGTGCGAGTACTGTTGTAGAGTACAAGGAGTGCGAGTACTGTTGTAGAGTACAAGGAGTGCGAGTACTGTTGTAGAGTACAAGGAGTGCGAGTACTGTTGTAGAGTACAAGGAGTGCGAGTACTGTTGTAGAGTACAAGGAGTGCGAGTACTGTTGTAGAGTACAAGGAGTGCGAGTACTGTTGTAGAGTACAAGGAGTGCGAGTACTGTTGTAGAGTACAAGGAGTGCGAGTACTGTTGTAGAGTACAAGGAGTGCGAGTACTGTTGTAGAGTAACAAGGAGTGCGAGTACTGTTGTAGAGTACAAGGAGTGCGAGTACTGTTGTAGAGTACAAGGAGTGCGAGTACTGTTGTAGAGTACAAGGAGTGCGAGTACTGTTGTAGAGTACAAGGAGTGCGAGTACTGTTGTAGAGTACAAGGAGTGCGGGTCAGAAGATAAACAATATATATCCGTTATATTTTGAAACATTTTTGGTCACTAATTTTTTTCACTATATACACAACGCCCAAATTATCCTACACTCCCGTTAAATTATTTATAAATAATTATTTGCTTTATTACAACAAAGAGAAGGGTGATGAATTGTTTTTTTCTGTCAGCACAAAATTTGGTCTTTAATGAATATATATATATATATATATATTATATATATATATATATATATATATATATATATATATATATATATATATATATATATGTATATATATATATATATATATATATATATATATATATATATATATATATATATATTATATATATGTGTATATATATATATATATATATATATATATATATATATATATATATATATATATATATATATATATATATATATATATATTAAACAGATAATGTTCTTCGGTGTAATAGGCCACAAAATAGAGCGAAACACCAACGTCAAAGACCTGGGAGTGATCATGTCGGAGGATCTCACTTCAAGGACCATAACATTGTATCAATCGCATCTGCTAGAAAAATGACAGGATGGATAATGAGAACCTTCAAAACTAGGGAGGCGAAGCCATGATGACACTCTTTAGGTCACTTGTTCTATCTAGGCTGGAATATTGCTGCACACTAACAGCACCTTTCAAGGCAGGTGAAATTGCTGACCTAGAAAATGTACAGAGAACCTTCACGGCGCGCATAACGGAGATAAAACACCTCAATTACTGGGAGCGCTTGAGGTTCCTGAACCTGTATTCCCTGGAACGCAGGCGGGAGAGATACATGATTATATACACCTGGAAAATCCTAGAGGGACTAGTACCGAACTTGCACACGAAAATCACTCACTACGAAAGCAAAACACTTGGCAGACGATGCAACATCCCCCCAATGAAAAGCAGGGGTGTCACTAGCACGTTAAGAGACCATACAATAAGTGTCAGGGGCCCGAGACTGTTCAACTGCCTCCCAGCATACATAAGGGGGATTACCAACAGACCCCTGGCAGTCTTCAAGCTGGCACTGGACAAGCACCTAAAGTCGGTTCCTGACCAGCCGGGCTGTGGCTCGTACGTTGGTTTGCGTGCAGCCAGCAGCAACAGCCTGGTTGATCAGGCTCTGATCCACCAGGAGATCTGGTCACAGACCGGGCCGCGGGGGCGTTGACCCCCGGAACTCTCTCCAGGTAAACTCCAGGTAAACGCTGCTGCAGTAACAGCAGCAGGAGCAACCACAGCAGCTATATTAACTCCTGCAGCAGTAACACCGGTTGAAGCAACTCCTGGAACAGCAGCAGCAATAGTAGCAATATTAACAGCAACATAAAAAGCTACATCAGCAGCAACAGCAATAGTAGCAACATTAACAGCAACAAAAAAGCTACCCCCAACAGCAGCAACAGCATTAGTAGCAACAATTTCAGCAATGAAAAGCTTCTCCAGCAGCAGCAGCATCAACCACAGGTAACTTACCTCAATCTGCCAGGTTTGGTTACTGAGACCAGCGAAGCCGAAGATGAGATGGGTACAGAGGAATGGGTCGACATTATCCACATCAAACATGCCATTACCCGGCCGGTACACTGCCCACGACGAAAAGTAACACACCATCCACTCTGTTCAGGGAAAGTCTTCTAAGTTTAATGTCTTTATTATACACTCCATACCCATGTTGTGGGTGGCAGTGAACACGAAGACACATAATGGGTCCAGGGATTGGGCCTCAATGTTTTGATAAATACACAAGTTACAGTGGTAATGAATTATTTACATGATAACCCACATGGAGACAAACTCAGGAGATTAACTGATCTGTATACTTCGACCCCCCTTCTGGGATCCTCTTCGGGAGATAGGGGTCGAAATATACAGATCAATTAATATCCTGAATTTCTTCTATATGTGGGTTATTACTGGCATGTATACACACTGGGGAATTTACTTTAATTCCTATTTTAGGTAATAAAGTGTTCTTGTCTGGCGGTGAAAAAGGTTACCTTTCATGATCATGATATAGTCGATAGGCTTTAACCCCCCGCCCCCCATTAACCATCCTTGGTGACTAACACCTTACGTCACTATGGGAACAGCTGGTGTTAAGATAAGATAAGATTTCGTTCGGATTTTTAACCCCGGAGGGTTAGCCACCCAGGATAACCCAAGAAAGTCAGTGCGTCATCGAGGACTGTCTAACTTATTTCCATTGTGGTCCTTAATCTTGTCCCCCAGGATGCGACCCACACCAGTCGACTAACACCCAGGTACCTATTTGCTGCTAGGTGAACAGGACAACAGGTGAAAGGAAGCGTGTCGAAATGTTTTCGACCCGCCGGGAATCGAACCCGGGCCCTCCGTGTGTGAAGCGGGAGCTTTAGCCACCAGGCCACCGGGCCACCCGAAATCAACTGTAAATTTATTGTTAAAAAGTAGAGATAATGGCGCCTGCTTCACAGGAAATGAGTAGGCCAATTATTGTCACAGTTTCACGACATTTTATTGTTCCAAGGTCGAAATTGTGTTTACATTTTCTTGTAAGTTTATTTAGGTGCAGGTCCACACAGGTACAACTATCATAGTAACATATGTGTAAATTACCTAGTATTACGTAGTAACATGTGTGAATTACCTAGTATTACATAGTACACATTACATAGTTTTGTACCTAGTGGCTCTTGCTCAGGGTCAAGCTTGTATCTAGTGGTTCCTACCTAGGGACCTGCTTGTACCTAATAGCTCCTGTTCAGGGACCTGCTTGTATCTGGTGGATCCTGCTCAGGAACCTGCTTGTATCTAGTGGATCCTGCTCAGGGATCTGCTTATACCTAATAGTTCCTGCTCAGGGACCTGATTGTACCTAATAGCTCCTGTTCAGGGACCTGTTTGTATCTGGTGGATCCTGCTCAGGGATCTCCTTATATCTAGTAGATCCTGCTCAGGGACCTGCTTGTGGAACCAGAGGCTAGTATGTTAGGGAATTTAGTAAGAGGTAGCGCAAAAGAATAAAACAGGATTGCAGAAGTAGCGAAGGGTCTATACCAGTCCCGACTAGACATAGTTACATCACACACACAAAAAAATAATATATTAGTCGTTTCACATACTACAGTGTTCTCGTATGAGTAATGAACACAATACAATATGAAGTTAGTCTCTAAACATTTAAGTATATTATTACCACTAAAACATAGTTATTCATTTAGCAGATGCAAAGATATGGGTAGTCTCAATATTTCAAGTACCTTATCCTTAGCAATAAAGCGAATTGCTATCCTGTAGAATTTGCATGGAGGTGTCTCTGCAAGGCAGGATATTGAGACATTAAGGTATAGTGAGCATTTTATGTCATTGCTTGTCTTTACAAAGCGTACTACCAGTGGTGCTTATAGCCTAACCTTAGCCTAGCAGTAACAATATCTTGCAATCTTACTAACCTTGTTACTTTCTAAAAAAAATATGCTTAACTTGACATATGATGGATAACCTAGTTCTTGGCCAAGCCTCCTGGAGGGAATCCTCAAAAGCTTAGCTGTGATCCCTTTCTTTAATTTGTGGATATCTGTGCCTAGCTTCATACACAAGCACGCTACATTCAGGTCTCAGGCTATTTAAAGAAAGTAATGAAGAGAAAGAGTCAGTTATAATAAACTGTCCGAGGTCGTTGTTTCCATAAGCTTGAAAGCAACGATCATGAACATAAGAAAGAAGGTACACTGTAGCAGGCCTACTGGCCTATGCGAGGCAGGTCAAATTCTCCCACCGGCTTAAGCCAATGCCTTAGCCTAGTCAGGTCAATCACATTCACTTAAGGGAAGAGCACGGCATCTGACCTAGTAGCACCAGCTAGTCAGGTCCAACTCACACCCACTCATGCATTTATCCAACCTATTTTTAAAACTACACAACGTCTTAGTTTCTATGACGGTACTCGGGAGTTTGTTCCACTGATCCACAACTCTATTACCAAACCAGTGCTTTCCTATATCCTTCCTGAATCTAAATTTTTCCGACTTAAAACCATTGCTGCGAGTCCTGTCTGTGCTAGATATTTTTAGCACGCTGTTTACATCCCCTTTATTAATTCCTTTGTTAGTTCAGTTTGTAAGATGGAAGCCCAGTTATTAATTCTAATATATGTATGTATTATAGTATCATTAGGCTGGTTTATAAGAGCACCTCCCGGGAAGCCCTCTCACTGTCATGGTCAGACATACAGGTCAATGTATATACACCGAAAAAACATACACATCCGGTGTATATCTCTTGTGCTTGAGTTTGGTTTAAAAATACTTCATATCACTGACATTTCCTGTCGATAAACTTTTAATGCGGAATTATTTGTACTGTTGCAGTAATATTTACCATAATATTTTCTACTTAGTAATCAGAATATAATGTCATAACAAATTTATTTAAATTATAATGAAGAGTAAAAGTATTTAAACAAACAAGAGCAATATAAATTTAAATATTGTTACAATTACTCAATAACTTCATTATTATAATTACTATCATTATCATTATGAGCATAGTGCTGGGTGGTTAATGGGGTTGACAGCCTATCTGCTACACGAGGGTCATTAAGGCTGCATGCCATCTGTTCACCAACAGTCACGAATACTTTAATACGTAAAATAAGGATTAAACTTAGGATACATATACTGGAAGATACACATTTCAGTGTATATGTACATCCAGTGAAGTGAGAGGTGTGTTTTTTAAGTGTGTTAGTCGATGTCAGGTGTAAGTTTCTCAGCAGGAGGGAGGGAGCTTGGGAGGTACCAGCTTACATGATACAACGAGTCATTATAAAGTCAGGGTTATCATCTAATTATATGCACCTACTTGTACTCACCAAGATATACTCACCTGGATGTACTCATCAAGATGTACTCGCCTAACTGTGGTTTCTGGAGTCGGGTTTGGTTCCCTGGCCCCACCTCTCATACTCACCTAAGTTCACATGCTATTTATTCCTGGTTTCATACCTGCTATTATACATACTATAAAAGCTGTGTATAGACTCTTCCGATACTTTTTTTCATCATCCGCGTTTCACCCTCTCAACCTGTCAGAGGTACAATGGAGATAGAATTCCGAGTTCGATTCCCGGCGAGGGTAGAAACATTGGGCGTGTTTCCTTACATTGGTTGTCTATGTTCCCCCTCAGATAAATAGGTACCTGGGTGTTAGTGGACTGGTGTGGGTCGCAAAAACTGACCTAATTTGCCCGAAATGCTCAGCATAACAAGGAGCTTTCTATATAGTAGTATGTCATTAATGTCAGCTTTGGTCTGTATACCTTGTACATGTACATGTAGAAATAAAGATATTATTATTATTATTAAAATGCCGACAAGATGGAAAAATAAGCATAAATGCAGTATAATGCGATTCTTTATTATAAGACTATCGCTCACACAGTGGGCTTAATCAAGTCACAAACAGATCTGTCACAGGTACTTTCCCAAATCCCTGTAACACAAATAGCTCATTAACTTTCATCTATGTTCCCGTGGTTCCAGGTCCCATGTTATCAGTCTGTCGCTGATTGCTCTACTGAATTAATTTAAGTATCTTGTACGTTGTAATTCTGTCTCACCTGGTTATTCTTTCTTTCAGTGTTGTGAAGTATAGTTCCTCTTAATCTTTCTTCGTAGATCTGGGACTAGTTAAATGACGAATCTTTGGACTTTCTCTAGTTTCTAGACATGTTTCACAGGGGGAAGGGGTTGCCTTGATGCCGGTGATGGGGCTCTTGATCCAAGGAACAGAATTTATTTCCCCCCTTTAAAAAATAATATATAAAAGGATGGTGCCTAGTGTGTGATGAGTGTGGTTGTACGTAGCGTCCTGGTAAAAACCTTAGTAATAGATACCGACAGTTTGTGTAGAAAGACACGTAAGCAAACACTATGACATTAAAAATATTTCGGTCCTGGGACCCTGATCACTTCAGAAGTGATCAAGGTCCCAGGACCTAGTGTTTGCTTCCGTGTCTTTCTAAACCATGTATCGTCCTCAACGACTCTTGATGTAGGTAATTTGATGCTGATCTTCAGAGTGAGGGAGAGAGAGAAATAGTGTTATTGTCGTTATTATTGTTTTTAAGAGTCACTAACAGCCTAGGCATTATCTACAGTAGTACTGCTTCCCGGTGTTGTTTCCCATCAAATACCTGCTGTTACGCCCACCCCGAGGAACTTTTAATTTGTTCAGAGGTTTGTAGTCTCTGATCACCCCTCTCTTCCTTCGTTCTGTATATGGTGTTCTCTCTTCCTCGATGTTCATAGGGTTGAACTTACTGGTGCTGAACCAAGTCATAAAACTACTTGTCTGATTCGTCCTACGGTCCAGGGCCTCTCGTAGCCTCTCCTTCAAAATACTCCGTAGCTGTCAAAACTACTACTATCCTAGAGATTTAATCTTAAGTTTTAAAGAGCTGGACGGGTAAGCCAGTGGAGAGTCTCGGTCAGATGCCCAAAAGTTCCAGTGGTGGGTCATTACACGACTAAGACCCGCGTCAAGAAACATCTGTCGTTTCCTGAAGAATCTTACCTAATTTAACCTATTACTAGCCTTTCCTAGTATTTCCCTATTTTTTTAATAAATGCATCAGGGAAGGTAGGTAGGGGTGTGTGTGTGTA